ATAAGGGGTTAGATTAAGGGATTAGATCACGGGATTCGATATTGAGTGAGGGATTAGAATAAGGCGATAGATATAGGCTAGTGAATCATTTGTTAGGTAGCTGTCGTAAATCTATACAAGTTTTTTGGAAGTCTCGAAAACCTTTACTGGGTTTCTGAGGTCCTGAGCCTTTTTGATTGCAATGGAAGATTTCAGAGAGCTCGGAAATCCTTTCTCGGAAATCTATAAAGGGTTTCATATAGTGACAAACACGGAAACCCTCTATAGGTTTCCGACAGTACTCTTTTTTTTAGAGTGTAGACTGAATTTCACATATGTTGTACAACTTTTTTCCTCTACAAAATGGTATAAAAATATCCAAAAAAATCTTCGAATGATGCCCAAACAGGGCTCACATTACTGTTATAGTTAGTGTTTTCTGTGGTTTTTCAATACAAATGAGACATTTTTAGCGATTTTCATTTTCATGAGACAATTGTATAGCGGGTGTGGGCAGGTGTGGCTGTGTGAGTGTCAGTGTAGGTTATTCCTCTTCAATCACTCACACCCTACAGGAGCGTTCGATCGAATTCAATAGAAATTAGAATAGTATTGAAAATTTATTGAACATAACCTGTCAGAGTCACTTTCTTACATCCAACTTGAATATATTAGATTTGAAACAATTGAGCGACGATAAAGTAGAGAAAGCTTGAGTTTTCTTAAGATATGCTAAAATTTCGGTTTTGACGTAAAATTTTCTATTGTTAAGATTTTGGACCTAAAACTTGATCGTGAAATCTTGTAAGCTGCCAATTATTGAAGAGCATACTGAGTTCTATCGAACTATATATAATTCGGCTAAATTGTTTTTCTGCTATTTTTTCAATTACCGGCACGTTACTATTGATCTTNTGTCTAATCACTTCTAATCAAGATTAATCACTCCTAATCAAGGCTAATCACTACTAATCAAGACTAATCACTGCTAATCACTTAAAATCATATCTAATCAAATAATCAGCTGTTTCTCCCTTGAATATATGTATATATAAAGGATGTCCCATAATAACTGAGGATACTTTTTTATTCGTATTTTTCATAGTTTTACTCGACGTAGAAGGCTGAAAGTTTTATCACATATACATCTGATCCAGATCTTTTATTGCTGAAAATTTCACCTCTCTAACTATAACTAGTGGTAAAATACACCGGCAAAACTGAATACATAAATTTTCGTAATCGATTTCTGCATATATGTTTATTTCGAAAATATTGTAAGGTAGTTCTAAGGGTAGTCAACCAAAAAATCACAAAGTATCAAAAAAAATTTCTTTCGTATCAGACTTTGTAGAGCTTTTTTCGCTGGTCATTTTGATAAAAAGACTTTTCGAATTTCATTCAGAAATGACACTGTTATGGTTAAAAAATTAAACACTGTAAAATAGCTTAATTTTACGAAAAAAAAAAGATTTTTCACTTTACTTTACTTTACTTACTTTTTCACAGTAAAATATAAGTTAAAGTGACACCTCTAGTACAATTTCAACTTATTTCTCGTCAAAGTTATACATAAAATATCAACACAACTTTTGATGATCACTAAGAAGATGATGATCAAAAAAATGAAGAGAATAGTAAGAGTTTGTATGTTTCAAATTCTATGAGAGTATTCTTGTATTTAGCAACTTGTCCAGCATAGTCAAGCAAAAACCATGTGATTTCTATTGATAATCGGCGACCGGTATTATCGACGATATATTCCAGTAAGAATTTGTTTTATCGTTTTCAAATGTAAACATGTACTTTGCAATAATTAGTCACAGTTGACGCACCTAGCCTAAAGCGCAAGCGAGGCACTGCTGATCTCCTCGAATGGATGGTTCAAAAAATAGAGACAATATTTGAACAGGTGGAAAATATCGATCAGAACATGAAAATACTCAGTCGAAAATACGGTACAATGGCAGAGGTTATGGCAAACATGCGTAAAGCGTAAAATAAAGTCCAACAACTGACGGTTTGCATTCCACACTGTTGGGCAGGTAGCAACCCTTTAATAAAAATTACAAGTTTTATCCCTGCATTTATATTCTTTATTTTATTTCAAGATACTAGCTCCGAAGATCAATCCACTGATCTACCTGTTATCGTGAGTTGTTCTCGAAAATAAAAACTTAATTACCTGTATTTTTTAAGAATTCAACGGTAAAAATCTTCTCTCCAAACCACTGCCACCGGGTGGGCCCACCAAACTATTGTGCAAGTTGCTGCACGATCTGTATTGTATTGAAAAAATTAATAAGGGAATTGCTCATGGATCATCGCTTGGCAGTTATCAAAGGTAGTAGATCTTCCTTCTACACCAATCTTGATTCCTTCGTCTTTCAATTTTTGTTTCGATATAGAAGCTGTTCGACACGCCTATTATTCTGACGACGAAGAAAAATTTGATGTTTGTTGGTCTATTGATGCTAGACAATTAACTGTAACATATCTTGACAATGACCATTTATCTGTCAAAATGTCGACTTATTTTGTAGGTTAACTTATTAATGAATAATAAATTATTAAATATTTATTAAATTAAAAAGATTTAAAATGAAATGTTTAGCTGCTGTTATTGCTGTTAAATTTCTACTCAAATTGATAACCATAAAAAAAATGATCACTATGAAACGTAAAGAATTGTTTATGGTGCACTAGAGCAAATAATATTGTGACGAATACTAATAATTGAGCTTGGAAAGAATTTATTTTTTCTTGACAACACACTTACACAATCTGTACGACATATTCCATCTGGCCATCTGTGCACTGTTGAACGAAGCGGTTCAACTTTCGTTTGGCTTCTCTGATTGCCAGCGTGAACGGCAACGGTGTCTCCAGGCGGCGTGCTTCTAGAACATGGTAAAGATGTTGATCCACTTTCAAGAGGGCAGGAAAGATGGCCTTGCAAGCCTCGACCAAGTGCCACACTTCGTCACAGCTCAGTCCACTTGTTATCATGAGTTCGGCGACAGTAAACAAAGCATAGAAAGGATATTGCTTTTCTTCACTTGTAGGATTTTCTTGTGCTCTATCCGAATATTCTGCGAGAGCCAACCGTATAGCTTCATCCAATGTTTTGAGAATTGACTTCTGCGGCTGATCAGTAATATATTGTATGGTGTAGAGGGAATTCAGCTGAGAGGATTCTTGAATAAGAATATTTCCTGCATCGTAGTTCTCCGTAATGTAGTGCCATGTGATAGCCCAGCGGGGTATCTGCTGCAACACTGCTCGAGAATAAGGATCGACATCTCGATAGAGGAGTAACGGGTCTGGATGTGCATTGATCTTGATCGCACGGTGAACAATAAAAGGTCGAGTAAGCTGGTATGAAAAGTGAGATACAATGACGAGATCAGAATCAAGAACTTCAAGAAAAGGAAGTAATTGTGAGACGCCAGTGACCATCAAGACTGGAGGTGTGTCAGTCACGCACATGGGCACTGTTTGTAGTTGAGCAGCAAGATAATCGTAGTTTTTCTCATTCATCGCATAGTTAAGACCTGGACATGTGGCTAGAAGCACTATTTGATTGGCAGTCTGTCGAATACCCTCAATCAATCGAACGAGAAAGTCGTTATTGTAACGAGAGAGTAAAAAACCTTCTTGCCACTTAGACGTTGACACTCTGAGCTGGATGGAAGAGGTAGAAGTGGACTGATAGAACGAACATTAGCAATATCCAGATTAGAAGACTCAAGACTTGTCGCCATCGTATTCACTATTTGCGCTGCAATACTAAAACATGATCATGAGACATTAACAGTTTAGCATCACATCTTCCGCATGCTGATAAACACAATCTGGAAATGGATAGCCCTAAATCGATTTTGCTCCATTCTATTAGCAACACAAACTCTGGGCATAGACAGCGGCTCTCATCGTCAGGTGCTGCAGCTGGTAAGATTTTTTCCTTATCTGTATCAGTCTGAAACGGTTAGACTGAATCGGCCGGTAGATCGGCATGAGTCATTCTTCATTTTTCTCATACTAAACCAACGAAACCGACTAAGGAATTAGTCATAAACTTTTCTTCATCGCTAAAGTAGAGAATGAAACGTTCTATTTCACTAATATATGTAACACTTTTCACTATTTATTCAGATCAGTTTTTGTTCAGTGATGATCAGATTTTCAAGAAAATAAACTAGAAAAACTTCAGGAATTTTATAGCAATGTCTCAGAGGCGCTAGAACAATTCGTTGCACAGACAGCAGAGACCGAATCGAACCGGCTCTTTCTGGATCGAGTTCGGTTGGTTCGAGTTTGGTTCGGCTTTGTTTTTTTAAATTCAGTTCGAGTTTGGTTCGGTTAGTTTTCGGTCTCTGATAGACAGTTCGTCCCAAGGAAATTATTCGCATGGACAATTCATCTCAATGACATAATCCAATTATAATTTATGATTATTTTTTCATTGATGAAGTGATCTATTAAGTTAAGTTTGAAATACATAATTTAACAACTAGAAAAATTGTGAAGAATATTTCTAATGAGGGTGTTGGTGTGTGTGTGTGTGACTGTGGTTGTGCGTGTGTAGGCAAGTATCGATGTACATCTTTTGCACACCCACATCACACCCACAGCCACAGCCACACCCACACCCCGTTTTACAAATTAAAGATAATAGATAAAACTCTTTGGGCAATAATATGACATCGCATATCTTCATATACAATAAATTCATTAGATTCTTTTTTCTTTGCAGTTCGTTCACGCTATGGATCTCGTGCAAAAATTCGAAATGATCGAAGTACCTGATAAAACAGCCTTATCGATATCATCAGTTTCATCTTTTCTAATAACGACTCTGACTGTAGATTGAAAATCCTCATAATTCTTTTAACTTCGATGATTCATCTTAAACACCACGTCACCGTGTTGACGTGTCAGAAATTGTTATTACTCAATCAAAACAAAAATCTTCAGTATAAATGAGAGAAAAAAAAAAGAAAATTTTTATAGAAATAAACATGAATCGAATATTCTCCTGGTTCTATAATAAAAATAATTCATCATCATTAACAGTACCTCGTCGGGATTTTATTGAATCATTAATTGTTCATAAACAGATCAAAGAATTTTCATCATGTTTATGCAAAAAAGATGATCGAATATTATGCATCGATGGATTTTTTCGATTATTACCAACAATACTTGATGAAAAGTATATGTCGAATTTATTTGAACTAATTTGTAAGAAATCACGATTAACATCTAATGAATTATCAACAATAATTATCAATAAACTTTCACGTACGATTCTTGATAAAAATTTCGATTTATGTGAAAAAATTCTACATTTACCAATTCAGTCTTTAAAAATCTCTTTACCTACTTATGAACTTGTTCAATTGATTCATACATGTTCAAATACAAATCAATTAATTAAATGTTTATCAATTTTAATTGAAAAAAATCTTCCCTATGATTCCGAATATCTGTCATGGATATTAATAATTATTTTTGAACATTATACTATTGGTGATGAAATAATTATTGAATATTTATTAAATGTAAAAAAAAATATTAATTTATTATTTACATGTTATGGAAATAATAATATTACACCATTAATGCTTTTCTTTCATTTATATTCAAATAATAAGTGTCAAATACTTATTGATAATTATTTATCGAATATTAATGATCAATCGATATTACTTCAATGTGACAAATGGAATCGTTCATATTTAATGCATTTATTATGTGGTCAATGTCAACATGAATTTATGGGAAATTCATTCGAAATGTTACCTGATGGAATTTTAGATATAAATGAGAAACTTATTAATCAATGTCCACATGCTTCAATTGTTCTTTCAAAGTTCTCAATGCTTTATAAGTTAGGCAATAAATGTGATACACCAATTAAAATGATTTTAACATCACAATATTGTCTTTCACTTCGAATTGTTTTATTTAATTTCTTATTAGAAAATGATTCATCAATTGAACTTAAATTTGATGAGTTTTTTCAACACTTTCCTCCACTTTTCATACGAATTTATTCGAATTATCTCAAACGATTAGTTCATAATCATAATTTAAATTCTATTCTTACTTCTGTATTGTTTAATCAAAGAAATAATGATCTATCTATTGAATATACAATTGAATTTCTTTTAAAACAAGGTGCTCGTATAGATAATATGAGTGGTATTAATTCTATTATTACTAATCTACTTTCAAATAGTCGTTCAATGATTCCATTTATGTTACTTGATTATTCGCTGTATATTGATATACCTTTTCAGACTTGGGCCAGTCAACAGAGTCCAAGAATGAATTTCTATATATGCCGTCTTATTCAATGTGGTTATCCTAGTGAATTTCGAACAAAATTTGAAGAATTTAAGTCTTGTCTATCTGAACAAACAGTGAAATTAATAAAAAGATTTATTGATTTGAAAACTCGATCACTTTTATAGAAATTATGTTTACAAAAACTAAGACGTTCATTAAAACATTTAGGTGATGATATGATAGATAAATTAAAAGATCATCTACCAAATCGATTAAGACAATCGATAACATTATTTGGACAGGACGAATGTCTAACATATTTTCGATCGGTTACACATTCTGGCTGACTTGTTTTTAAAAATAAAAATAAAAAATACATAAGAATTTTAGAAAAAAATTTAATCAAAGGATAACGGCTTTATCAAAATTTTGTGTAAGTCTCTTTTTCTTTTAAATTTTCAACAAGGAATGTGTGGAGGTGAGTACGAACTTGAGACACATACACGCACCGGTAAAATTGACTAGTGGCTCTTAGCGAAAGAAATTCATCTGTTATTGCCAATTAAATCAAGAAAAATCTTATCCGTAAATATCATTCAATAATTGAAACTTGTCGAATTCAAACATTATATGAACCATGTTGCTGCTCAATCAATGTTCAATTTCTTTTTTAAAAAATCCATCCGAAGTTATTTGAAGATATTGATTAAAATATATTTCAAGAACCGAACTTTCATCTCGATAAGATACGGTAATGCTGCTGTATTTTCTGATTTAAGAACAATTTGAATCATTTTTCAATCTTGTCTTGGGAAAGAAAATCAGAAAAAAGTCACTTGTTGAATTATGTGTAGATTGATGAAATTATTCATTGGTACTTACAGTAGTAGAGTCATGTAAAAAAAACACAAGCTGATTTATTCCGTTGATTTTGCACAAAATTACGCTCGCTTACGTATTAACACACAGTTTATTGAACATCACAACACTCAAATTCGATTTTTCGTAAAATTTTTCGAATTTTTATCGAAATTGACTTTCTTTTGTGGTAAGGATCGTATTAAATTTCCATCAATTGAAACAAAATAATGAAAACTGAAGTAAAAATATTAAAAAAATATTTTTTTTTGAAGTTGTTTGTCTACAAAAAATGATTAAAGGTGTTATTTTGCTAAAGAAAAATGTATTTATCTCTGAACTTTGAAATTTCTTTTAATTAATTCTAATGTTTCAAGTATAGATTAGATTTCTCTCGATAGCCTGAAAAACTTAACTCTATAGACCTTTGCACTATTGAATTATCATTGAAAAACAAGTCATGGCGACGTGACATACAAAAACGAATAAAGTTTTTCCTTGAGCACGTTTCCATTTGCAAGAATTGCAAGTTGAAAAATTATTTTTTGACCACTAAATACTACGTTGTGTAAGGCATTGTTCAAACAATAAAATCTCTACGGAAAATTTTTTTTCTGAAGATGCTGTAATTTTTGAAAAAAACTAAATTTATTCGTTGTTATCGACACGAGTGCATACGAATGTAGCAAAGAAAATCTTTCTGGGTAACTGGATGAGATTTCGAAAAAAAAACAATTCTAAATAATATAAGTTCTTATTCAGAATGTCGAGGTGATTGTGAAAATCTCTAGAAAACCAGTTCTAAGAAGTCGGTTTCCTTTTTTTTTAAGTTCGATCTTGCTGAAAATTTCACTATGAATATAATTTGTGATATTAAGCTTATTTTGAAATTCGTGAACATGTGCGTCATAAGATTAGAAAATTCTTCGCTATTGATACGAACTTGTTGAAAAACAATAATTATTGTAAATAATCAAAGTTAATTTAAAGATTTTCATGTTCTGTTTTTACTGACTTCAACCATACATAATGTCATACGAAGTTGTATTCAAAAAAATGTGCACATTCAAAGTTTACAAGAGAAAAAATCATTGTTAATGAATGAAATATTATACTTAATCAAGTCGTATCAACAATTTTTCTTATTTCATTTTGATTTAAACAGTAAAATATGAATCAATGAAGATTTTTTACAATTTTTGCTGCTAAGGTTAAGAACATAAGTATTATGATGATGAATTCTTTTCATTGTTCATATTCATTCACATTAAAAAAAATGTTCTCAATAATTCAATTTTGGTGAAGTGAAACGCAAAAAACAACAAATGATTTGATGTGAGAATTAGTCTATTATCGAAAAAAAATGATTTCTTTTTATTCAATTTCGAGTGTCATACAAAATACTTAGGTCATACCAAAAGTAGTGGCCCCGCATCTTAATTTCGTATAGACTGCTTGAAAAAAAAAATTCTTTTTTTTATGAAAAGATAGAGCGTCTTTTGCTCTATCTTTCTATGCTATTTGATCATTATTCAACTAATATCATAATAAGAGTGGTGTCACATATCCAAGATTTTGGAGATGCCACCGCATCTCCCGCGGGAGATGCCGCATCTCCAGCGGGAGACGCGGCACCCACACTCGGGAGATGAGGTCATTCACCACTAGAGATGTAAGATGTA